AAAGTAAATGTTAGAATACCTAACACATCACAGTTGCTCATAACTATTAGATTTTCTCCCCTCCTTCCATCTTCCTGGTATTAAGACACAATCATTTAGTGTGCCTCATGCTTTGCTTACCATTTCTCAAACTAAGCTTCTTTTATTCAAAATCTTCCAGAATTTTCCGTAAGACATCTTTGATGATTAATCCACTAGCTCCCTGCAGGTCACAACATTGCTCTAGAAACCCTTGTACTATTTGGCATGTCCCTATTTTCATATTTGTTTGTCTTCTCTCCTGATTAGGTCTCATTTCCTACAGTGTTTAATACAGTGCATTCACTAAGTAGGATAATAATGATTCTCTGATTTAAAGAGAACTTAGAGCAAGTTGGAGCTTCCCTTCCTTATGTAACTTTCTGTAAATTAACTTGAGGCATAGGCCCCTTCATTTTGAATTTGCTTTCTTCTGTCCATGCAGGGCTGATTCTGAACTCCCTGTTTCACTTGAGGATAGGCCACCTTTTACCCTAGAGTAATAATTGCTAGCAACCATGAACTTTACAGTTTTAAAGGGCTTTTCATGTACATTATTCTACGTGGTCTTTACAACATTCATTTAATATGGGTTTTGGAATCCAATTGAATTAGATTGGAACCTTGACTATGTCACTTAATAGCTGTGTGATATTAAGTTACTTAACCTCTCTGGCCTTCAGTTTTCTCACTTGTAAACTCAAAAAAAATAAATAGAATCATACTTCTTAGGATGATTGCGAGAACCAAATGATATATATAAATCATGTACCACTGCCAGAATTTAATCAATAGGATGGAAGCCACCAATAAATGGTAAAAATAATTATTATTTTATAAATGAGGAAGCCGAGGAGCAAAAGGAGCGATCAGAAGGCTTTGAATAAAGGAGAGCTTTCATTCTAAACGGCATGTTCCCATCTACTTCTCTGCCCTCCCAGCAAAGCAGCCTGAAAAGAACTTCTTCACACTTGCTTTAATTTGATCTTTATAACAACCGTAAGAGGTTTATGCAGAAAATTACTCTTTAACTCTGTGGGGAAGTGAATTTTAATGGATGAGTTTTAGTGACAGTTCAAGCTAATTGAAAAGGTTGGCCAACATCACAATCCCAATAAGGAAAGAAGTAGAGCAGAAATACAAAAGAACAATGCATATGTACACTGACCTGGCCTGGAGAAGAGGAGGCTGATGGTGCTAACCCAGGACAGCGACACACAGAAACTGGAGTCCAAATTCACTCTCACCTGATCCTCAAAGGCAGCTCCCCTTTTAAAAAAATTTTAGTTAATTGTCCAAAAGGATGAAAAGAAGCTCCAGAAAGAGGCAAAGAAAGATTTTTTTATTCCCTCAATGCTTTTCATGCTCATGAGGCTAGGTTGCTGTCATTATCATTATCATCACCATCATCATTGGTATTATTTTATTAATAGTAATATTTAATACAATAGGTAGCATTCAGTGAGTGCCTAATTTGTGCCAAACACCATGAAAGGGACTTTGGCTCTAATTCTTTCAACAATCTTGCAGCGTAGATATCATTATTCTTCTACACAGAAGACAAAGATTAGAAGAATTTTCTGGTTATTTTTGGAAGTAGATTGATGCGTCATGAAGAGAAAAATCTCTGGCTCAACCAGCTGAAATTCTCTTCTTCTTTTCCTCTCTCCTCTTCCTCCTCCTCCTCTTCCTTTTTCTTCTCTCTGTCTCTCTTTCAGCCAGAGGCATGCATTTTATGTATGTATGCATGTATTTAGCACACACTGTTCTGAAATGGAAAGTATGTAATTACCAAGAGTTCTGCCTCCATGTAGAACATCTTCACTGATGTTTTGTGTACTTATCCAAACAGAACATCCTCAGTTTCTCTGGGCATCCCAAGTAATGCTGGGTTATACTCGAGGCCTTATCCTGAATAATGGCAACAGGTCTCATACCTTCTATGATTCTGGGGAGCAATTCCCAGGGCCATGTAGTGACATTTCCTTCTGAACTGCTGCTCTGGCCTCCTCTCCATGTCCTCTGCTGGCTTTTGAGCAGAACATATTTTGCAAGAGGCTTTCACTCTCTCTCTCCTGCCCTAAGGCGCCCCCTATCGCAAAACTGTGTGTGCTTCAGATTTTACTAAAGCTTAGTGATAATGGAGGTGAATTATACCTCAGGAGAAGAAACAACCAACATCAGTGCTCTTCAGTTCCTTGCCATTCTCTGCCATAGAGAATCTATTTCAAACTCACACTCCAAAGTCCCATCAAGCACCCAGTTATCTATGTGGCGGGACCTATCATTCCCTAGATATTTGTACTAGTTATTTATCTCAGAGTCCCAGAGGCCAACCTAAATATCACTGTTACCTTATCATACAGAGGAATTAAGACCATTTTTATTCAGTATCTCCCATCCTTGCCAGCTTGGGCCCTCTTTTCCAAATCACTAATAGATACATTGATCCATCTTGCTAAAAGCAACAAATTTTTCCCTGAGGTTGTTGCTGTTTCAGCCCCTCAGAGAGTATAAGCAGTTATCAGTTTTCCTTTTTCTTAACTGCATCTTATTATTCCTGTTGTATTTATATTATCTCATAAGCATAAAGACCAGAAATCTCAATTCCACCATAAAAATTAACACTGGAATGAAAGAGCAGGGGAGTAAAAAAATCACACTGTGTTCTTCCTGGAGGTAGGGAGTATGCCCCCTCCTGGCATATCTTCATAAGCTTTCATTAATATTCGGGCAGCTTCAAGGCATCCATGCTGGTGACTGTGAGGAAAAAGACATATTTGGAAATTGAGGTGAGATTAGTTTCCATTTTGAAATCTCCATGAGTCTAACTGACTCAGCCATCACTCCTGAATAGGCTCACATCATTGGTTTAACAAATATTTACTGAGCATATATGAAAATGTCACAGGCACAGTTAAGCACCATTAACCAAATGGTCAACAAAGAATTAAAAGCCTCTGTGAAATTACAGAGTTCTATTCTAAGGGCTACAGGAAGATGAAAGAGGGAAGCTACTAATTCTGGCTGAAGGGTTCAATGAAAAGCTTAAGTTCATATCATCAAATTCCTTCTCTTCTTCATCCCGTTGTTTTGCTACAGATGATTAAATCATACTGTTATTTGAAAGATGCAGCAACCAGATTTGAAATTCACATGTATTAGTGCTCAGGCTCATATAATTTTTGGAAAGAGGAGAAAGGTGCTTGCAGGAGCTGGGCAGTATGTTGGTCCCAGGGTCCTACCCCAGGGACATTGCTTACATTATCCATTTTCCATAGGAAGTCGGAGTCAATGACCAATATTGTTCTGGAAGAAGTTGTGATGGCATAGTGAGAAGATTTCAGCACTGACCCTCAGGAGACCTGGACTTCACATCTCCCAAGTCATTCATTAACAAGGTAATAAAAGTAAGCCTCAGTTTTCTCATCAGTAAAATAACAGTTTGAGTGACTGGATGATTTTGAAGGTCCATGTCAGACAGGAGATTGTGAATCATTACAACTTCTGGAAATATTACATTTAACTACTTGTGATGTCTATATAAAATACATAAATAATAAGCCAGACTCACATATCTGTTGATTCATCTGTTTAATTATTCATTCCTTGTACACTATAGTCAAGATCATGAATTTTATGGTCAAATAGACTTTGATTCAGAACTTGTTTTCTTACTTAAAAGATAAACGTCCTTGGACAGTTAGCTTATTGATTTCTTTGTGGTCCTGTTTTCTCATTTCTAAATGAAAATAATATTACATTTATCATAGGCTTATTGAAAGGTATATGTCAGGGTTCTCCAGAGAAACAGAACCAATAGGATGTGTGTGTGTGTGTGTGTGTGTGTGTGTATGTGTGAGTGTGTGTGTGTATGCATACAGAGGGAGAGAAATTTTAAGGAATTGGCTTACATGATTGTGGAAGTTGGCAAGTCTAAAATCTGCAAGGCAGGCCAGCAGACTGGAGAACTAGGGCAAACCTGATGCTGTAGCTTGGGTCCAATGGTAGTTTGCTGGAAGCATTCCTTCTTTCTGGGGGGGACGCCAGCCTTTTTCTTGAGGCCTTCAATTGACTGGATAAGACCCACCAACATTATGGAGGATAATCTGCTTACCTCAAAGTCTAATAATTTAAACACCAAACTTATTTAAAAGATACTTTCAGAACAACATCCAGAAATGCTTGACCAGATATTTGGGTAACATGGCCTAGCCAAACTGACATATAAAATTAACTATCACAAATAGCCAAGGTATGGAAGCAATCTAAGTGTCCATCAGTAGATGAATGGATAAAGAAGATGTGGTACATATACACAATAGAATACTATTCAGCCATAAGAAGAAAATAAATCCTACCATTTGCAACAACATGGATGGAGCTGGAGGACGTTATGCTCAATGAAGTAAGTCAGGCAGAGAAAGACAAATACCAAGTGATTTTCCTTATTTGTGGAGTATAACAACAAAGCAAAACTGAAGGAACAAAATAGCAGCAGACTCACAGACTCCAAGAAGGGACTAGTGGTTACCAAAGAGGAAGGGTGGGGGAAAGTAGGTGGGGAGGGAGAGAAGGGGACTGTGGGGTATCATGATTGGTGCACATGGTGTGTGTAGGGTTACAGAAATGACAGTGTAACTCAGAGAAGACAAATGGGGACTCTGTGGCATCTTACTACACTGATGGACAGTGACTGCAATGGGGTAAGGGGGGGACTCAAAAATAAGGGTGAATGTAATAACCACATTGTTTTTCCAGTGAAACCTTCATAAGAGTGTATATCAATGATATCTTAATAAAAAAAAGAATTGAAACACTGAAAAAAAATTAACTATCACAGAAGGAGCACTGATAATGCAGGGGAAAATTTAATAAAATGTCTAACACAGAAAACAAATAACAAAAATTAGCTCTTATTATTGCTGTTGTGATTGTCATTATTCTTTATTGAGTATCTACTTCTTTTGCTGGGTACTAGGTTAGTTTCTGAAGACAAATAACTCAGAAGATATAATTGGCCCTCAAGCAACATACAATTTAAATATGAATTCTAATACACTACCTGATCATTATGGTAGAGCATTCTGAATACTATGAGAGCAAGAGAGTACTCTGACAAAGATGGGTACCGTGAGTACACCTGAAAGGCCCTCAACTCAGAATGGGTTGAGGGGCAGGGATAACTTAGCTAAGATCTAATGGGTGAATAGACCTTGGTCAGGTAAATGGACATGGGAGGAGGAAGAAGCAGAGGTATGTTAGGGAAGTAAATGCTTGGAACTAGAAATGAGAAACAACACAGTCTGCTCATAGTAGTGCAAGTAGTTTATAATTTGTTGAGTCATAGGATGAAAGTAACAAGTGAAGATAAAAAGGTATAAGGCTTGATGGGTTAAACCTGTAATGGGCTCTTACTAAACTAGGTAGCTTGGACTTTATCCCAAAAGCAAAGATACGACCTAAAATATGGAAGTAATGTTGGAAATGAAGAGAAGAGACAAATCTGGGAGATCACAATAGGTGGAATGGGTAAGGCCTGATCATGATTACATGTTTGATGTGTGGGGAGGGAAGAAAGCTGAGTCTCAGGAGGGAGGGAGCTACATGTAGAAGCTACTATATATCTTTTGGACCCAATCAATGATACTTTCAAGAACATTGGAGGATTGTGCACTTGTCATCTGTATTTCCTGTTTGTCGTTTTCTGCATCTGTAAAATGAAGATATTGGACACAAATAATTCATTGAAAGGCGTTGTCTTCCTCTAAGACTCTACAACCCTGTGACTACATTTTAACTTTGCATATTGACACATTTTTGGGGAAAAATTCTTTTTGTCTTACCAAGTCAATAAACTGAGAAGCAATAAATAGCATCATGATACTGGAATTTACTATGATTTTGAAATTATTACAGGATGATACCAGATTAGGAAATAAGATAAACACATGCTAGAATTTTTTATAATGTTCTGTTTGAACTATCAGAAAAATAGGGGTGACTGATACTGAAGATCTAACAAGATGAGATGAATTGTTCTAACTAGAAACAAAGTCAATAAGCAAATTTCTATAAATAGTGAAATGAAACAAAAGTTGATTGGTGAAAAAATGCTTGGGAAAGAAACAAGCAAGCTTTCTTTTGCCTTTTTCTCTTGTGTGTTTGCAAAAACCAATATTGATTGCTCTGATTTCAAGCACTTGATTTATCTTGTACAACACTTGAAACCTACTGTTTGCTCTACAGTTTGAAGTTTATTTGGTGAGCTAATAAAGGTCTTGCAGAATCTGAGGGAGAGGACAAAATCAAATGAGGATTTGAACTGAAAACCCATCCAGATGGTCATCGTGTCCCTCTCAAGGTGACCTTGAGCCATTATTTGGAAGTCTTTTTGAACAAGAACTGAGTGATCAAAAAATTTTCAGAGACAATCTGGTATAAGTCATTCAGAATCTGGTTGGTGGGCTTCTGGAGTCCTTTTGACCATAACAAGTTAAGGAACTAAACATTAGGCTGGGATTCAACTCTCTGACCTTGCTGGGAGTAAGCACCTTGCATCACTAGTATCATATTCAGAGTTAGTTATTATTTGGTTGGGTCCACAAAGACTCATGAGAAGACATTTTATAAAAAATTCAGAATGTGATGTGGAGAAAGGGGAACCCTCCTACACTGCTGGTGGGAACATAAACTAGTTCAGCCATTGTGGAAAGCAGTATGGAGGTTCCTCAGAAAACTCAAAATAGACATACCATTTGACCCAGGAATTCCACTCTTAGGAATTTACCATAAGAATGCAGCAGCCCAGTTTGAAAAAGACAATGCACCCCTATGTTTATCGCAGGAACTATTCACAATAGCCAAGAAATGGAAGCAACCTAAGTGTCCATCAGTAGATGAATGGATAAAGAAGATGTGGTACACATACACAATGGAATATTATTCAGCCATAAGAAGAAAACAAATCCTACCATTTGCAGTAGCATGGATGGAGCTGGAGGGTGTTGTGCTTGGTGGGATGGGCTGGGCGGAGAGGGACAGGTATCAAATGATCTCACTCATATGTGGAATATAAGAACAAAGAAAAAACTGAAGGAACAAAACAGCAGCAGACTCACAGAACCCAAGAATGGACTAACAGTTACCAAAGGGAAAGGGACTGGGGAGGATGGGTGGGAAGGGAGGGATATGGGGGGACAAGGGGCATTACAATTAGCACATATAATGTTGTGGGTGTGGGGACATGGAAAAGGCAGTATAACAGAGAGAAGACAAGCAGTGACTCTGTAGCATCTTACTACACTGATGGACAGTAATGGGGTGTATTGTGGGGACTTGATAATGGGAGGATTCTAATAACCATAATGTTGTTCAAGTTAGTGTATATTAATGATACCAAAAAAAATTCAGAATGTATATTAATTTAGATAAAACTCAAGATGTATGTGTGTGTCAGAGCTATGTCTTAGAGAGCATCTGAAAAATAATCACCAAATTTAGTTCCAAGCAGTTTTTTTCATCTTTTTGTTTCTAATTGCACAAATAATCATTACAGACCACATCAGTGACTCTTATTTTCTTGGGAGAAAGAGTAGAATCTATGTTCAAGCCTCACTTTGACAAAGTCTGTCATGCAATATTACTCAGTTTTATTTTAAGAGTTATGGGGTTTGTCTAAGGGCTAAATGAATCAAACAAATTTTCTGAGCCCACAATAACAGTCATAAATAATATCATCTTTATATCTTCATTGAATTAATAATTGAATACTGACTCACATTAGTCCCTGATTTAAATCAAAACATGATAATTACCATTTCCCAAAAAAGTACTCTCAAATAATCCTTTTTATTGTACAGCTACAACTCTAACACTTTTCAATGTGTTTGAATTACACATTAAGTTTTTTTCTAACAAATGCTAGCACAAGATAATTTTACTTAAATATTTCAGTAATTTTAGATATCTTATTCCAAGGCAATAAATGAATTCAGATAACCCTAGGATTACTGAACCAGGTTAGACTTAACCTGAATAATAATGCTTTACATAATTTTGCTGATGTCATACTCAGTCTCTTTTATCTCTGTTTTATCATAATCCTCTAAGGGAAAGGATGGTGCTTATTTTTCAAAATGTATTTCAAGTATTTATTGGAATTTTCAGTCTCTATTTGTCCCCACATCAAGAAGAGAGAGCCAAGGTGAGGCATTCCCCTGGGTACACTCATGCCAGCATTTGGGTTCTGGGACAGGGGAACGAACTAGAATTGAAGATGCTTTGTGAATTGACAAGGAAAGGGAGGACTACAAGTGTGAGTCCTTGGAGAAGTTATTAGAGAGTCCAGAGGGGCAGGTCGGAGAAACTGAGGTAAGAGAGCCAATGCAAAGGACAGGAACAAGGAATAAGACAAAAAAGAGAGGGTCAAAAGTCAAGGGTCAGAAGCTGAACTGAATGGAACCAAGTGGGAGAAAGGATGGGACCCTGTGCTGTGGCCCAGCCCCCCTGTGTAAGGTGTGTCTGTCCTTATGGACTTTTAGGAAGGCCACGCTGGAGTTTGCATGAGCCACAGACATTTTTCCTGGCCTAGGAATAGTCCTAAATTGCTTGCAGACCCAATTCTGATGCCTACTTTGCCTTCAAAGGGTGGGAGCACCTCCTTCCAAGCAGGAGGCCAGGCACCACCTATCTTAGAGTTCAGAGAAAGCAAGCAAGAACATGAAGCACTCCCAAAGAGGGCCAGGACTATTTTTGTCTCACTTCTGCTTTATTTATAATCCCTTTTCTCCTCTTGTTAGGGTCTAGGACTCCGGGGTTTCTAAGAGAACAAGCCACATGGACACGGAGATGAAAATTCAAGCAAAGTCTTTATTCAGCCAGCAAGCTGGGGTCGACAGCACCTCCCCTGACACGCAGGCCAAGTCCGAGCTGCCAACCCTCAAGCAACTTTAGGTATGGTTTATATGGGATTTCTACAGTCATTGCACCAGAGCCCGCACATTACCTCAACCAATAAATTTGAAACACATTCTATACTTTAGCCAATAGACTTGGAACAGGGACACACTGAGTGCCTGACCTTTGCACAAGCATTCCTATGTGACTTATCAGGAGTTTCGTCCCCAGGGGTCGTTCACTTCTAGTCATCTAACTTAGGGCAGGGCTCAGGAATGTTGGCCTCATGTAGTTTCTACAAAAGCTGGGTGGCTCTGCCCTGTTCTCTGCATTCCTCTACATTCCCCCCTTTTCTTGATTAGACTGAGGAATCTTCTACAGCGGCATCTAGGGCCTGATATCTCTGTCAAAGGATTAGAAGTTGGACGGCATTAACTTTTTCTTGCACAAATCTAAGCAGCTTATTTACTATGCACGGACTAATCGTAAGCAATAACAGCAGGATGATCAGTGGCCCTGTAACAGCTGAGAAAAGGGTAGCGAACTAAGGCTTGTATTTGAACTAAGATTCAAACTAGCTTTCGCTACTGTCATATTCTTTACGCTTCTTTTCTAGATCTTTCTTTAGTTTGGCCAGGGAATCTCTAACTGCACTTGTTTTGTCTACATAGAAACAACACTCTTCTTTTAAGGCCGTGCACAGTCCACTTTCTCTTAAGAACAGGAGGTCCAGGCCCCTTCTGTTTTGTAGGACTACTTCTGCTAAGGAGGTAAGGGATTGTTTCAAGTCTGATATTGTCTGTCGAAGTTGTTCTAGGTCTCTGTCGACAGCCCGCCTCAGAGCTGTGAGCTCTTGTTCTCGAGTTACAAGGGCTGCAACTCCTGTGCTAGCCCCTGCCATCTCTAGGGCAAAAAGGGCTCCAATGGTCAAGGCGGTAACAACTTCCTTTTTCTCCCGGTGGGGGTTTGGCCATTCTTCTCAATAAGAAAGGAGGGACTCATGAGGACGATATACTAGGCGTGGTAAAATGGCTACAAGTACACAAAACTCATTGTTAGCATTGAACACAGAGGTGGATATGGCCGGGGTGAGGCCTGTCTTTGAACAGAGCTACTAACTCGAGGAGGGTATAATTTACTTGTCTTGCTTTTATGTATTGTATGTATAGGACGAGCATAACTGGCTCTGGGCTGTCAGGACTGTGCTTACACACGTTCTAGCAACTGAGACTTGAGCGATTTTAAGTCTTTTCGGCCTCTTGTCCCAATAAGTGGGATAGGAGTCGTTAATAGTGTAGGAGCCATTTATTTTGATTGCCTCATAGAAGGGGGGTGAACTTGGATAGCATAACTAACAGGGATCGGTGATGGAGGGAGTGGTGCGGTTCAGAGTCTCTGCGAATGCTTGCACCATTTCTCATAAGGGGTTATCTAACTTGGAGGGGCTTGAACCCGGTTTTCCTGCGGGCTTTGGAATCAGCTTCACAGATGTGGCTTCTTTGAGTTTATACAAAGGCACTTATCAGCAGGATCTCCTTCATCTTCGGCTTAGGTGTAGTTTCAGGGGATTTGCAGGATGCTGCTGCACTTTCTACTCTTCTTCGTGATCACTTGGGTCTTTATGAGGCAGGATTTTCTGAATGTGGGTGTGATGCACCCACGGAGTGTTACTATCAACTTTGAGAGCAGTGGGGGTGGTAAACAATACAACATAAGGTCTTTTCTACTTGGGCTCGAGAGTCTTCACTTGGTGTCTCTTGACTCACACTATATCTCCTGGGACTATGCTATGTTCTGGGCTCGGAATTTTCTCGC